ATATGTTTTAATGATTATCAATAAAATAAGGGGAGATTTTGCTGAATTAAAATTTTTGTTAAATCCATTCCTAATTCAAAATTAAACAAGGGGAGTTTTGCTCACATAAGAAAGGGGAAGTTTTGTTATTGACATATCTAGGGGGAGTTTAAGATACTGTGCTAATATGAGATTTAAATAAATTGTGCTAATCTTGAGCTGGCTATAGAGAGCAAGCATTTTAATTCCTTTCAGGTGTTTCCTTGATCATCATAAAAAAGGGGGAGATTGAAAGCACTGTGGAGAGATTGAAAGCATTATGGGAAGTTTGATAGAAATGTGGAATATTTCCCTACATTCTAAAGAAGATGATTTTGATGAAGATTCAAGTCAACACTATTCAAGACTCAAGCAAGCCCAAGATGAAGCTTGAAGACTAGATATACACTCTGAAGAAGATGATTACTCAAGCAAACCAAAGATGAAGCATAAAGACTAGATATAGTCTTAGAATACTAGATTTGGAGGTATAAGTTGATGAAATGGTATTATGCATAAGTCTCCAAAGCACAAGAATAATAAAATTTCGTAACATGACATTTTTCACTGTCATAATCGATTATGGCAGTTCAAATTTGAAAAATATATCCATTTTTGAAGAATAAATATTTTTTAATACATCCCGATTCTTCTCTACGAAATTATGGGTTTAGGTGTGCATACTCGACATTCTACATCGATTATAAGGAAAACCGACATAGAAATTCTTACTTTTTTATTTATTTATAATACCCTTTATCCTCCTCTATTTATCTACAGGTCCCCCCTCCCCTTTATATTATATTTTTATTATTTATTATATTATTTTAAGAGAATTGTCACGAGACGTAATTCAAACCCAATATTTTAGAGTTGGAGGTTGATACTCCAACCACTAAGCTACTAGGATTTTGTGATAATAACTTATAAATAAATTATATTTATATACAAATAAATGTATATATTTGTAAATATATAAATACAAATATATTTATATATTTTGATATATTTATATAGTTATATATTTATATATTTATATGTTGGATGTGAAGGCGCGTTCGAGGGTGAAAGTGTTGTCGAGTGGATTTTCAAAATTTGTAGCTTAGTGGTTGGAGTATCAATCTCTAACATTAATGTGATGGGTTTGAATCCTGTCAGTGACAATTTTCTTAATTTGCTATTATTTTAACTTTTAACGTCGGTTGATTGAAAACCGACGTTGAATGTGTTCAATATTCAACTTTCAACGTCGGTTGACTGAAAACTGACATTGAAAGTGTATTCAACGTCGGCTCAGCTTTAACTAACGTTAAATGACGACGTGAAAAACATATTTTGTAATAGTGAGGTGTTTTCATCCCTTTGATTTGTTCGGGGAGGTGTTCATCCCTAGTGTGATTCTAGGGATGTTCATCCTTTGTGTGTTGGTTGCAAAAGAAGTGTTTTTCATCCTTTGATTTATTCAGAGGAGGTGTTCATCCCTAGTGAAATTTTGGGGAGGTGTTCATCCTTAGTGGGTTTCTAAGGAGGTGATTGTCTTTCTAATTAGTTTGTTATTTACTAGTTCCCCTGCTGAGTTGATTGTAATTTGTAAACTGAATTTTAAAGATAGTGAATTGGGGTCACTCTTATGTTAGAGGTGACTGGGAACTGGATGTAGGGTTGACTATACCCGAACCAGTATAAATTACTGTGTGCTCTTCTCTTCCCTATATCTTCGCTTTTATTTTTTCCTGTACCTTTCTGATTATATTGTTTCTGCTTTATTTTATTTCAATCTGATAATTAAAATTGAATTAACAAATTATTGGACATCAAAAATAAATTTTTAATTTGACATCTATTTTAATTTGTGCATCTATTTACCCCCCCTCTAGATGTCATTTGTCTAACAAAGATTATTTTAAAGAAAAAACTAAGTCTTGGGAATCATGTTTGCCTCATATTGAGTATGCTTATAATAGGGTTGTCCATAGTACAACGAATTATTTACCTTTTGAAATTGTGTATGGATTTATTCCTTTAATTCCTCTTGATTTACTACCTATACCTAACATTTCTATGTTTAAGCATCAAGAAACACATGATAAAGCTAAATATGTAAAGAAGTTGCATGAGTAAGTGAAGACTCAATTTGAAAAGAAAAATGAGACTTATGCTAGGCGAGCTAACAAAGGAAGGAAGAAGGTGGTGTTCAAACTTGGTGATTGGTTTAGGTACACATGAGGAAAGAATGATTCCCAGAACAACGAAAATTTAAGCTCCAACCTAGAGGAGATAGACCTTTCCAAGTGGTAGAGAAGATCAATGATAATACCTACAAGATTGATAAATGAGTATAATATGAGTACCAACTTCAATATTTTCTAACTTGTTTCTTTTCATTATATATGATGAATCTTTGGATTTGAGGACAAATCCTTCTCACGGGGGTAGGAATGATACGGACATAAAAGCTCAAGGCCATGAAAAGAAAGATGAAGATATAATTAAAGACTTAATTAAACTAATGACTAAAGGAAAGGTTAGAAAGACCTAAGAAATATTACAGTAGAAGGTGGCTCTTTTGTGGGAGGCCCAACAGTCAAAGGCCCAAAAATTTGAGAAGGCTAAGCTAGTTACATGTATAATACACTTGTAGAGTTAAAATATTTTTTTTATGGTTACATTAGTTTATAATTTCATTAGTTTACCATTTGGGACAAATTAGCTTTGCTTGTGATATTTTTAGTTTTCTTTTCCTTTTATTTAATTATAAACAAAGTCAAATCCTAAGAAAACCCTAAATTTGTATTTATGATTGTTGAATTTAGAAAAGAGACAACAGATGAATTTTGTCAAAGTGAGAATATCTCTCTGTTAGGGTTCTTCCTTGCATCTTTTATCTTATCACTTTTTCATTACTGTTTCTCTTGGAATCATATCAATTGGGATGTGTGTTCTTTATGGATGACATGAATTTTACTTGTCTTTCAAAGAAGAAACCAATCGTAACACTACCAACATGCGAAACTAAATATGTGGCAACATCTTAATGTGTATGTCATGTTATACGACTCAAAAATCTGTTAGGAAAATTGGAGAAAATAAATAAGCAATTAAATTGTTAAAGAATCCAATAAATCATGAGAGAAGTAAATACATTGAGGTTGGCATTCACTTCATCTGAGATCATGTGAAGGAAGAAATTACTATACGTGGTAAGTTAAGATCAAATCGCATATATCTTCATGAAACCGCTATTGATGGTACATTTACAACAATGGCAAGAAATTGAACAGCATGAGAGATGACAAAAGTGTTTAAGTTTATGGGGGAGATTTGTTAAATAAGCTTAATTCTTAGTTTAATGGTTTTAATTCTAACAACTTTTGTTGTTAGAATAAAAGGTCAAGAGTCGGTAGTTATTTTTGAGGAATAATGACTATAATGGGTTTTATTGTATGTATTAATAGAATTTTACGTCTATGAACTTGAGGGACAAATTTCTGCCTATAAATATATCCTTGTATTGTTTGACAAAACAAGAGAAAAAGATCTATAAAAAGAAAAACACTTTTCTTATATTAATTATCAATTTTTATAATTGTTAAGGTCTATTACCATGTTGAAGATATTGTTTGTTTTAACACTATAGTTCATCACAGTTTTATCCTTTGAAGGCGCATCGGTGGGTTAAAAGAGAAAGGTGTATATAAACTACCATTGACTTCAATTCTTAAGCAATATGAGACTCATGAGTCTATTGAAACATAGCCTCATAGTTGAGGACTAAGAGATAAGAGTGGTAGAGATTATGTTCTTAGCCCCACAATGAATGTCAATTTTCTATTTAAGAATGAGAGTATCCCGACCTCATGTTCACTATGATAATATTGTTAAGGTCCATTACCATATTCAAGATATTTTTCACTTTGGAACTCTAGTTCATCATAGTATTGTCCTTAAAAGGTGTTTCAGTGGGTTAAGAGATGACAGTGTAAAGAAATTATCCTTGAACTCGATTCTTAAATAATGTGAGAAACTTACGAGTATATTGAAACATAATCCCCAATCAAAGACTAAGGAATAATAGTGAAACGAGACTTTATTATCAGTTTATAGTGGGTGCCAATATTTAGTATAGATTGAGAGTGTCTCGTATCATATTGATCGTGATAACATTACTAGCGTTCATAAATAATAAACTTCATGCAAACCCCACCATCAAATGAGAGAAGACAGACTCACATATTACTAGTGCAAAAAAGGTTTTCTATGTCGGTTAAAGAGGCGACATAGACACAGGGGTCATAGAAAGTATGACTTTTTACGAAAATTTATATTGGTAGGATTCGAACCCAGTACATTGTATTCGAACCCAATACCTTAAAGTTGAAGACAAATAAGTCCAACCACTAAGCTACTATGATTTTCTAATAAATAACTTACAAATAAATTATATTTATATACAAAATATATAAATACAAATATATTTATATATTTTGATATATTTATATACTTATATACTTAATTTTTTTGATTTAATATACACTTTCTATGTCGGTTAAAATTTAACCGACATAGAAAGTGAACTTTTATGTCGGTTGAAATTTAATCGACATAGAAAGTTCACTTTCTATGTTGGTTAAATTTTAACCGATATAGAAAATGAATTTGCTCACATACCATGTCGGTTATATAACAACTGACATAAAAAATTTATAATATTATTACAAAAATATCACTACTCTATATACTATAACGGATGGATTACAACTATCATATCATGTTTTTCCACTAGTGTATTTCAAGCCACTTGCAAAAACTCTTTATAATGTCAGGGCTAAAGTGTCCATAGCTCTCTAGTCTTTAGAATGATAGATGTCAAACACGTTATATATCTAGTAATGAACCACGACGGTACATTTGGTTTGGAGAACTTGATGGAATCCAGGTGTCCAATTGTACTCAACGTTTGAGATAAGAGGAAATCTAAGCCTCTACATCCCTAGTGGAGCTCGGACCAACCTAGCCACTATTTGTTGGGATTTAGGCCCACTGTGACTAGAAGAAGTCTGATGATGTATAAAGCTCTTGGGCTTCACCATAGCAATAACAACCACTAAAGCTAGAGGAGGAGTAGCTATCTTTAGTAGGTGAACTTCATGGACAATAAGGTGAACTTTAAGTTCACCTAGCAACTATTCAACATAAAATAAATCATCATAGTCATAAGAAGAACTAGAATCATAGGAAGACATGATAATAATGGAAAGACTAAAAATACCTAGGATAACAATGAAGAAAAAGATTAAAAAAAAGATAATGCTAAGGAAAACGTGAAAAGGAAGATGAAAAGTAGTATTAATAATCAATTTGAATCCATGTATTTACCTAACCCTAGAAATGGCTTGAGGAAAAACCCTTTAGAGGACGTATTAATGAGTAACACTTTTGTTTTCTAAAAAACCCCAGTCAATGTGTGTTAGAACCTTAAAAGCACTTGGAAGAGTATAAAGGTTACACATTTTAAATTAAATATAAGATTTAAATATAGCTCAACCATTGAGCTTGACGTAATTTTAAAACCATAGCAAGATAAATCGAGCATAAACTAAGTGTTATAATAACTCATGTTTGAATGTGAAACTTAGTTAGCTTATATGTGTACACCTTTATTAAACTTTGAGCTTGGAAGCTTTTATATCTATTTTGAATGTTTAGATTATATAATTAGCATTGATTCTTGCATATGATCATATAAAACACACTATAATTTGGTAATAATCCATAAAATAATATACCTGATCAGTCAATTATAAATAAAATAATCTTAAATTATTATGCTATTAAATGACATTAAAATATCTATTATTTATTGTCTAAAATAAACCTATAATTCTATAAATAGGAGTGCTTTATTTGTTCATATTATTTCCTTCATATATAATTTTCTACTATCATGTTATTCTCTTCTTGTATTAACTTAAATATTAGACCCTCTTTGCTTGTGTATCTCACCATTTTTTTTTCAACACTACCCACAACTCAGTCTAAAAGACCAGAAAGAAAAGATTATCTAGATCGACCATTCCTGCTCTTATTTATTGTTTTGTTTTTCATCAAGGAGAAGCATACTTTAGTTGACCATGATCACGAAATTTATTACTTAGTTTTGAAGCATTCAATCATGAAATATAGTTGCGAAACTTTATCATTCCTAGCGTGTAATTGATGATATATTGAAAGATGATTGAAGATCTACGGCAATAATCAATCAACAATCCTTTACTCCAACAATAATTGAAATACAACTAAATTAAAATTGTTAAGAAAAGAGTTCAAAATAAACTGATTTCAATAGAATATACAAGGGTTGCTTTAAATACTTGATCATTAGAAAGCACTCATACAGTTTAATAATTTCTTTTAGTACCTTGTTTTTTTTATGTATTTTTGTTACTGGGATTTTTACACAAATAAATGTGATGTTTGTCATTTTATTTTAAATTTTTTTATAATATTTATATTATGTTTATATTAGTCTTTATAAAAAAACAAAGTTTAGATTAGTTGAAAATATGCATAATTAAAACTGACAATAACAAATAAAAACTGGATTAGATTCTTTGACGAATTTTACGATAAATGTTGATAATTAATATGAAAACCAAATAAGAGATAATTTAAAAAAATTTTAATTCATAAAAATGAATTAATATGTAAATTTTCTAATTTAGTGAGTTAAAAAAATAATATAAATTTATTAAACAAAAACCAGTTTGAATGGTTAGAACATAATATGAATTCCAATAAATCATGATTATGATTTTCAATACACTAAAATCAAAATTAGTTTCTTATTTTTCCATAATAAAAAAAGGAGAACAATAATTTAAAAAAAAAAACAAAGAGATTTAAGTTGAAGATAATTATAAAATCTGATTATTTAATATTTTATTGTGACATGAATGTTATATTTTTAATCAACAACTCAATCTATTTTTCTTAACTTCGATATGAAATAAAGTTTTTTTTCTCATTTGATAATTTTTTTATAATTTAAAATGATAGTATACGAGATTAGTTACTACATAAATTTCTTTCATATATATATATATATATATATATATATATATATATATATAACAAATTAATATTTAAAATTAAATTTTATAAAACATGAGGGATGATATTTGGAATGTGAATGTTCAATTTTTTTGGTGCGTGATGCAAGGATAAAAGTCCTTTTCATATGCCTAATGGTTGGAACAAGAGTAAGCGCGTGTTCCTTTTTAAACCATCACTTCACATCTCCTTCGATGTTCATGTTGAGATATTATTTACACGGAGCTTTTTTTTTTTTTTCTTAAACAAGATCGGAACTTCTAAAATTTATTCTAAAGAGCTGTGAATTTATAAAATGATTAAAAAGTCATTTAAAAAAAATTGCAAAAATAATCATTTTAACTTAAATTCGTGGATTTGTTGTTCTGTAACAACTACCAGTTAAATGAAAACAACCGCAAATAAGTGTGATGTAATAGGTAGATGTAGGTTTGTATCACATTAAATATATTTGTTAGTTGAATGAATTTTGTCTACCTTTATTTTAGTTAATAACTAAATAGGTAGGTGTGGTTTGTATAACATTAAATATAATTTTGTACCAGTGGAGCACATAGATACATAACATGATTATGATGGTAGTAAATTAGTTATGATTATTTTATTACCTGAAGAGGGAAACTTGAACTAAATTTGCTGGCCACCACATTGCTGCTGGTTCAACCAAGTATCTTCTAAATATGCCAGCCCATCCGAAACCCAATACCTGTCATTCAACGCAAATTATATCATTACATACATCTTTTTTTTTTTATACTTTAATTTTAAATTTTTTTATTACTCTTTTCCAACTCATGCAAACCAAAAATCCAAAAACTAAGGTGTAATAAAGTTAAGAATGAGAATTGACAAGAGAATTTAAAAATAAAAATAAATATTTTATATTAAGTATTATATATGAGTAGTTTAAAATTAAAAAAATATGATTAATTTTTAAATAAATTATTTATAAAACTTGTATTAAGATTTTTATTTTTATTTTTAAACAACTTTTATTAATATCTTCTTTTGAAAATGTTAAATATATATATATCAATATTCTTAAAATTGGACGGTCACGAAAATATAGATTTAAAGTTTAAAAATTAAATTGAAGATGAAACAAATTTATTAAAATAATATTTTCTAATATAATAAATATATAATAAATTTATTAATAATAATGTATTTTATAAAAAAAATAATAAAAATTATTATTATGATCACCATAAATTATAATAAATATTATAAATATAAAATATAATAAAGAGATAAAATAATTTTTTGTTAAAATAAGATAATATTATAAATATAAAATATAATAAAGAGATAAAATAAATATTTCTTAAAATAAGATAAAAATACGATAAAAAATTATTATTTAAAATTAATATAGGATAAAAAATATATTATATGTTTTATAAAAAATTTATATCAAAAAATAATTTTTATTATTTTTTATCAAAACTAATTCAATCTAAAAATTTAACAAATTTTTTCGGTTTTTTTATTTATCTTAATTTAATTATTTAAAATTTAATTATTTAAAATAATTAATTGATTACCAAACTGAATTAGGTTAGTTGAACATGTCCGATCACAATTTCAAATCCGTATATATTTCAATAGAATACTTTTTAATCGGATAATGGTTATTCTATTATTCAAAAGTGTTAATATTAATGGATTTTTAATAATTCTTTTTATCAACAATAATAATAAATTTGTTGTTAATTATCAAAACATTTTTAATACGTGGCTTATATTGTATATTTAAACTTAGTTAAATATCACAAATTAATTTATAAGTATCATTTAATTTCTTATCTAAGGTTTAGATCTAAAATTATGTTTTAACATTGAATTGTAGTTTATCAACCACTACAAAAAAAAAAACTGATTATCTACGACAAAAATCAGTAGGTAATGGTAAAAATCCGTAGATAATGTCATTTTATCTATAGATTTTTTTACGTAGGAAATCCAGTATGTAATATGGTCGTATGTAATTATCTACGGAATTATTGTCAGTAGATAATGTCATCCGTGGATAATTACCTATGGATTGTAATTCATAACTAATTACCTACAAACGAGAATCAGTAGATAATTACCTACGGATTATAATCCGCGAGTAATTACCTACGAACGATAATTACCTACGAGCGAGAATCCGTAGGTAATTATCTATGGATACACGTTCATTATAAAATTTCATCACCACCAATTATTTAACTAAATTTTATCTATTAATTACATACATATTACACGCAAAGTACATAATAATCCGTGCGTAATAATCCGTAGATAATCAGCTTTTTTTAGTGAACTTGGAGCAAATTATTTCCAACAGGTTATTTTTCATACATACTAAAAAGAATAATAACACATCAATACATTTTCTTATGAAAAAATTTAAAATAAAATAAAATAATTAATATTTTATTGATTAAGAAATATGCTATATACGAGAAAAAAAACGTCAAAATAGATAATTTTTTAGAAATAAAAATTATTTAGTTAGGATAGCTTTTTAGTTTAATTATATTTTTAGTATTTAAATTTTGATTTAAATCTGATTTTTACCCCTCGGTTTAAAAAAAATATTCAAATTTAAAAGAAAAATATGATTTTAATTCTTAAGACTAAACATAATTTAAATAAAAATTTTATTCGTTTAAATTTAATATACAATAATAAAATCAAGTGTTTGTTTTTAATATTTGACAAATTAAAATGATTATTTTTTTAATTTAAAGGATAAAATCAAATTTACGTTGCATTTTAAAGATTCAAAAAAGATAATGAGGAGTATTTTTGTTTGAAGAAGATAAGAAAGTTAGTTGGAGGTGTACAGGTAGAAGGGGAAATGAAAGCAAAGTGAAAACTAATTAGCTGAGGAATGAATTAATGGATGAATGAATGAAGGGAGGAAGGAAGGAACCTGTGTGGTGATGACTACAAGGAAGGAAAGAAAAAAGGACATGTGTTGATGGTAAAAGATTTTGACAGCTGTCACAATGTGAATGGCGTACACCGTACCGGCGCCGGAGTTGGCAAAGATCGTTATCAGAACGTGCTCCTTCACGTTGAACGGACCTGGGTTCAAGCTAAACTCCCACCGCGTCCCTTTCAGGAACACGCGTTTCGTCACCGTCGCTGCCATCAGCTGCCCCAGCGGCACCACCGCGATCTGCGCTGAGATGGCCGTGATAGCAAGGGGCTCCGTGCGGTACCAGAAGAATTGGTTCAGAAAGGACAGCAGAACGCAGGAGAGGCTTCCCAACACCCACATTCGAAACGTCAGAACCGGAAGAGAAGGATCGTCGCTCGTTGCCACCGTCAGAGCAACTTGTTTTATCGGCGAATTCTCTTCTTCTTCTTCTTCTTCTTTCTCAGTTTCACCCTCGCCATTCCTATTCCTGGTGCTCCCACCTTCACCTTCCTCGTTATTCGATACTTCATGTTGAACACAAGATGTTAATTGATGAAATTATGATTGAGAAGATAAAAAACAGCATGTGTGAAGCTTACGGAGAGGGGATGTGATCTCGTGGAAGGATTGCTCCATGTTGATTCAGTCTGAAAATGTGTTGTCTTCTTTTCAAATAGAGGAAGAAAAGGAGAAGACAATAAAAGTGAGAGAGGTACGTGATGGATTCAAATTAAGAATAAGAATATGGTCACCTCTGCAATACTCCAAAAATAGCTTTCTCATCATCAATAGTTTTTTTTTTTTTTTTTTTTTTTAAATTGTTATCAAAATAATATAAATAATCTTTTATATTCACTTTTGTACTGTTCTTTACCATTATATCAGTTGTTTTTATTATATTCTTTACTCTCATGTCATATTCATTACATAATGGGAATTTTTGTAAGTATGTCATTTTAAACAAACATAAATAAATAGTAAAAAATATATAATTGTTTGTGTTGAATATAGAAGAAATAGAGTTTGGGATTAATCTCGTTTGTGTATAAATCACACATAGGGTAGTTTATTTATAGTAGAGAGATACAACTAAAAAAATAACTAAAAGTAACGAGAATAAACAGAAGATATTGTTTGATATTATGGTTAATATCTAACAATATCTTAACAATATTAAATAATATCTAAACAATATCTAACACTCCCCTCAAGTTTGGAGCATACAAATCGTATGTGCCAAGCTTGTTACAAATATAATCAATTCTAGGACCCAGTAAATATTTAGTAAAAATATCCGCTAATTGATCACTTGAGTTAACAAACTCGATCTTGATGTCTCCGGACATAATCTTTTCTCGAATGAAATGACAGATCAATCTCAATGTGTTTGGTCCTCTCATGAAAGAGCGAGATTAGAACTAATATGAAGAAGCAACCTGATTGTCACACACAAGTGACATTTGAGTGACATCTCCAAATTGTAACTCTCTAAACAATTGCTTGAGCCAAACAAGTTCACGAGCAGTGAGGCCATAGCTCTATATTACGCTTTGCACTAGATCTTGCCACAACACTTTGTTTCTTACTTTTCCATGAGACCAAGTTACCACCAATAATGGAGACACAATATCCAGATGTAGATCTTCTATCCGAAGGAGATCCTGCCCAATCAACATCTGAGTAGCAAACAACTCTTGTATGGTTATTAGAATCATATAACAATCCTTTTCCAGGAGATCCTTTAATATACTTTAAGATACGAATGACTGCATTCCAATGATCTTCACATGGGGAATTAAGAAATTGGCTTACCACACTGACTGCAAAGGAAATGTCAAGACGAGTAACTGTAAGATAATTCAATTTTTCAACCAATCTTCTATACTGCTCAGGATCAGGTATACGCTCCCCCTGATTTGGTAAAAGTTTAGTATTGGGATCCATGGGCGTATCAACAGACTTTGAATTCATCAACCCAGTTTCCTCTAAAATATTCATGGCATACTTCCTCTGAGATATAACCATACCATCATTGGACTGTGCCACCTCAATACCCAAGAAATATCTAAGTTTGTCAAGATCTTTGGTCTGAAAATGGTGACAGAGATGTTGTTTCAACTGAGAGATGACATGGTTGTCACTACCTCTAAGAACGATGTCATCAACATATACTATCAAGTAAACACATCCAACACTTGAGTGTCGATAAAAGACAGAGTGATCTGCTTCACACTGAGTCATACCAAATTGTTGAACAACCTTGCTAAACTTTCCAAACCAGGCCCTAGGAGACTGTTTTAGGCCATATAGGGATTTGTGAAGACGACATACCATCCCAGAAGACTCCCCCTGAGCAACAAACCCAGGAGGTTGCTCCATATAGATTTCTTCTTGCAAATCACCATTGAGGAAAGCATTTTTAACATCTAGTTGATAAAGAGGCCATTGTTGAAGAGTGGCCATGACGATAAATAAATGAACAGAAGTCATCTTTGCCACAGGGGAAAAGGTATCTCCATAATCCAACCCAAAAATTTGAGTATAACCTTTGGCCACAAGACGAGCTTTGAGGCGATCAATAGTACCATCAGGTCCAACTTTGATAGCAAACAACCACCTGCAACCAACAACAGATTTCCCAGACGGTAACGAGACCAATTCCCAAGTTCCACTATTATGAAGATCACTTAGTTCATCTAACATGACCTGACGCCAACCAGGATGGGCTAAAGCTTCACGGACAGTTTTTGGAATGGTCACAGAAGAAAGAGAGGAAATATATGTATAAAAAGGTAATGACAGTCGATAATAACTCAAACCAATATAATGAGGAGAGGGATTACGTGTAGAACGGATACCTTTTCGGAGGGCAATGGGAAGGTCAGACTCAGGTGTCACATCTGGAGGAGACAGAGTAGTTGGCACTTGAGTAGAGTCACATGGTGGTGGTTGTGATTGGTTTCAGCAACTATAAACCTGAAGAGGCAGTGAAGAAGAAGCTGACTGCGGAGTAGAATCTAATGGTGAAGAAGACACAGTTAGAGGGTCACAAACAACAGGAACATTAAATGTACTAGGAGTGTTGACAAGATTGGATGGAGACAGAGATGAAGATTGACTTTTAAAATAAAAAGAGAACTCATCAAAGGTGACATTTGTAGACAAAAAATAATGGTTAAGAGAAGGAGAAAAACATTTGTATCCTTTTTGTGATCTTGTAAACCCTAAGAAAACACATTTATGTGATCAAGGAGAAAGCTTGTCAAGACTATAGAACTAAAATTATGAACAAAACATGTAGACCCGAAAACTTTTAGAAGTAAGGGATGAAGTGGTTCATGAGGGAATAAAATGGAATGAGGTATTATTATCTAGAACCGAAGATGGCATGCGATTAACAAGATAACATGCAGTAAGAAGAGCATCACCCCAAAAATGTTGAGGAACCTCTCCATGAATTAAAAGAGTGCGAGTTGTTTCAATAAGATGTCTATTTTTACGTTCAGCTACACCATTTTGTTGAGGTGTATAAGCATAAGAAGTTTGATGCAAAATACTATGAGAAACCATGAATTGTTTAAAAGAATGAGAAAGATATTCACGACCATTATCACTGCGCAAAACTCTAATAGAAACACCGAACTGAGTTTGAATTTCATTGAAAAAAGTTTGAAAGATATGAAATAATTCAGAACGATTTTTCATCAAAAATAACCAAGTGCATCTGGAATAATCATCAATGAAAGTAACAAAGTATTGAAAACCTAAAGTAGACTTAATGCGGCTAGGTCCCCAAATGTCAGAGTGAACCACGACAAAAGGGGACGAAGCACCACGTGTGACTCTACGAGGAAAGGAAGTACGACTATGCTTGCCTAATTGACACGACTCACATGCCAAACTAGACAATTTAGATAAGGCAGAGACAAGTTGTTGTAACTTGGTAAGACTTGGATGACCTAACTGAGCATGGAGAAGAGAGGGAGACTCTATAACTGCACCAACATGTGTAAAGGGACGAAGATGATAAAGACCATGAGACTCACATCCTGTGCCAATCACCTATTTCGAACTCCGGTCCTGTAAACACACAAAATTGTTGGTAAAAGAAACAACACAATCAAGAGAACGAGTTAGACGACTGATGGATAACAGGTTAAAAGGAGACCCAGGGATATAAAGAACATTATCAATGGTTAAAGAAGGGAAAAGTTTAACAGTTCCAACACCATGAGATGATACTCTAGAGCCATATGCTAGTGTAACAAAAGGTAAAGGATTAGGAGAGGATAAAGAGGAGAACAAAGATTTGTTACCAGTAATATGATCAGTGGCTCCTGAATAAAAAACCCAAGGACCAGAAGAAGATTGGGTCAGACCAGCAAAAGATGTACCTGTGTGTGCGACAGACACAGTGGAACTTGAAGACTGTTGATCCTTATACCATTTGAGAAATTTATTGAACATATCAGGTGTGTCTGATGAAATAGAAGAAGGAGGATCCTTAGCAAATAAAGGTGGGGAAAGATCAGTCTGAGCAACTGCAGTAGATCGAGTAGGACGACCATGTAATGCATAACACTTGTCAATCTTGTGACCTAGTTTGCCACAATGTTCACACTCATGTAATGCATAACACTGGTCAATCTTGTGACCTAGCTTGCCACAATGTTCACACTTAGGACACCCTTTTCCCTATTTATGAGGGCGAGTTCGATCATCACGGTGAGATACCAATGCAGAAGAATCATTAACAGAAGCAGGTGTGTCAGGGTTGGGTTTTGCTGGTATACGCAAAAGAGTGGAGCAGGTCGATGTCAAGGTGGGGACAACCGGAGAACCCAAAATCTGATCACGAATATGTGAATATTGATCAGCAAGTTCGTGTAATGCCCCTAGCATGAAGAACTTTGATCGTTGTCCTATCTCGGTGGCAGGGTCGGGGGAAGGAGGCAATAACTCATTGAACTCATGAAAAAGAGCATGAATTTTGCCCATATAATCAGTCATAGAATCTTGATGTTTAGAGGCAATAACATCTACAAATTTAGAACAGATATCATAGAGACGTTGAGTATCATTGGTGTATAATAACTTGGCATGTTCCCAGATTTTGGCACATGTTTCGTAGGAACGAAAAATTTGTTTTAACGAAGGATCAAGAGTGCCCTTGAGAACCACGCATAATTGAGCATCAATGGTGTCCCAACGGTCTTCCTCACCAGGAGTGAGAGTAGGTGCTTTCGGGGCAAGATGATCAAGATACTTCTGACTCTTAAGCCATAATTTGACGTCTGATGACCATGTGGCATAATTAGGGTCAGTTAACTTGTCAATGGATAAGTGCACATTAACATAGTTAGTGTAGATGGAAGGATCAGACGCAGTACTGACATAATTGGAAGTACTAAAAGGAGCGAAAGAACTCATAAAGGGTAGAGGCGATAGTGACAGCGGCGTGAACCAGTACACCAGGTAAGTTCCCAGGAAAGAGAGGTGGGTCACTAATGGACACGCTTAAATACCAAGTCTTTCCTTGTCAGAACTTTCCTAGACATGCACTTTCACACTACCAAATAACCGACAGCGATAGCGGCGGTGGTGGCGGCTTCAATAGTGGTCAAAGGCGGAAAAAA